GCTGCTGCGATGTTGGGCCAAAGCAAAAACAGGCCTGCTTATAGACCCACATGTTTTAGAGGACTTTTTATTTTTATATTTAATGAGGCATAAATTACTAATTAACTTCTAAAATTTGCAAAAACGTCCATGTAGTTTTCAAAGTCATGTTTCTCCCATGGATTCACAATTTCGGAAATATCCCTTTTTGTCTCTTGACTTTATCTTAGATCAGTTAGAGGTTTTAGAGTTGGTTTTTCATTAAGCTTTGTATTGATAAAGTGGTTTGTGTGAATTAGTCTGTTTGTATAGATTGAAAGATTATGTTTATAAAAGAGTTTATTCATAGATGAAATGAACATGTTTTTTAATCGCAAGGATAAGTTTGAAAAAAAAAAAAAAACTTGACTTTTTGTATCAAGTTCCCTGCTGGAGATTTATTGAATAAACCACTTTCAATATCATTAAACGACTATCAGACAATCAGTTCTATTAATCTCATTAAGTTGCTAATAAATAGACCAACCCATGATGATTTATAATTAGAATACCAATTAGTTAATTTACATATCTTAAATTAACAAATTACTTTTAAATTTGTGAATTCTAAGTTTCGATCACGAAATTATTAGTTAATTTTCATTAAGTGTTACATTAGTAATTTTCGATTAGATTGAAATATTTATGTTTAGAGAAGTTATCAAATTCTTTTATTGTATATCCAGCTTATGTATTGGAAGCAACCTTTACTAAGATAAAAATAAGTTTATAGTATGTCAAAAATGTCGACACATCATAATAATATTTTTTTTTATAAAACTTAAGTTTAGTAGACCCAAACAATTATATGTCCTATATAAATGTGTTATGATAGGTTTATAAGATGTTTTTGTGCCACTATAACAAATTTAAGTGTATAGGACATAGAAAACGTCTCAACCCTAATAAATTATTTTATAAAACTTAAGTTTATAGGACCATACACTTGCGTGCCCTATCTAAGAGTATTGTAATAAGTTTATACGATATTTTTCGGTATTTAATGGACTTTTAAGGGACTTTTAAGACACTTTTGAAACTAAGCGTTGTTTTAGCCAATTTATATTTTGAAAAAAGTGTCTTATAAAACAAGTATCCTATAAAAGATGGATTTATAGGACATTTGGTTTCAAAAATGTCTTAAAAAGCTCGTTAAGACACCTAAAAGTATTGTATAAACTTATTACAACACTATTAGATATTACAAGTAAGTGTTTGGTTAAGTAATCTATTAGGACACTTAAATTGTGTCCTACGAATCCAATTTTATAGTAATGGGTATAGTTTAAGACATTCTTAAAATAAAATATTGTATTAATATTTTTAATGTCAAAAAAGGCTATTCAAGAGATATATTCTAAAGCTTTTCCCCTGAATATCAGGGTTGTAATCCAAATCCTCATCAGCAATCCAGGTGTGCAGCAAGATCGACCAAAATTGATCTTCATATGGAGTTGTTTAGGACTATTATCATTAGTGTTCTTTCACAATTGTTTTTCTCGCTGTTAAAAATTAAATTAATTAATGAAAGCAAAGACATCACATGTGATGGGTATTAGACAATTAGGCATCTAACAATCCATTGTATTTGATTTGAACTATTTTAGGAACATCATCACCCAATTAAGAGGTGTGGAAATTAAGATCACTAATTAGTGAAACCAAACACATCACATGGCATGGAAACGTATAGAATCCACTCTATTTAGATTCATCTAACTTTTGAACCGACTAAAATTCACCAATTTAGAGATTTAAAACCACTAATTAACTAATGAATGCAAACACAACCGATTCATAGATCAACAATTACTAATTAGTGAAAGCAAAAACATCACATGGCAAGGGTATTAAACTATTAGAGCATTATGATTTCTGTTTAGGTTTTTTCCGTGGTTTTTATAAGAACCTTCATTATGAGATATAGATATAATTGTTCAGTTACAAGTTTTTATTAAAAGCTAAGTACTTAAACAAGAACCCTTGTATGCATTCCTTTTTTGTTACTATTTTATTTATTATTTTTATTATTTCTTTATTATTTTTATTTTCTTTTAATAAATCTATAGAACATATAAGTTGAAATTAATACAAAAAATATAAAAATTAATTACTATAGAATATACTTTTTTAATATTGTTTTTATTTTTTCGTTTCTTGTAAATTTTTATACAAGTTTTTATATTAATAAGTTAATTTTAGTTATCTTATTATATTATTTTGTTGAAGAGATTGATTCAAGGTTTCAATTATGAATTTCAAGAATATCTTCAAAGAAATTATGAGATGCACTCAAATTAAGTTCATCATCAACTCTGCTCCGACTTGGTTGAACATATTTGACTGCATCGAGATTACAACCGATCCATATTACTATTTATTATTTAGTGTTATTTTTTATAAAGATTAATATTTGTGTAATTTAATACCTTTTTTAATTGTAGTATAAATTTATGTTCATGTTTTAATTGTTTTTCAAACATGTAGACAAAATATATAAATTGACAAAATTAAAATTAATATAGAAAAGTGAAAATTAATAAATTATATTTGATTTTTTTATAATTCTATAATATATATTAATATCATATATTAATCTATAAATAAAATTAGATTTTATAAATTAAAGAAATGGAAAGCAAGGTTTTTATAAGAACCTTCGTTGTGGAGTTCTCTTGTGTCAATAATGTGGTAGAGAAAAATATGACAAGTGTAGTTATTAGAGATTCCATCACTATGAATGCTGTTTATTTGGATTGAACTAATTTGGGAACAACATTATCTAATTCTCAGATAAAAAAATCACTAAGCCAAAGGCAGTCAAGAGTGACCCTTAATCCTTTCAAGGCCATAAACAAAAGTGAAACCATCCCTATAGGTAGAACCAAAAATGGATTGCAAAAATCATTAAACCATACTAGATAATAGGTGTAAGCGAGCATGTGCGATATGTAAGCAACAATTGTCTTTGCAGCACGTGTGTGACTCTTGACTCATGACTCGTAATCCGAGCCATTTTGCGAAAGTAAGGGCCTTGTCATGGGCATGACTTGTGAGAGACTGGCAGCTAGCAAAGGTGGTTGTCGGTCGCGTGAGGGCATGTGACTATGCGTTGTGGCGGTCTTCTAGACTAAGGCCGTGACGTTGTGAGAATTTTGAGGGTGTGCCTATAATGGGAGGGAATAAGATTTGGGATGTGATATGTATACTTTTCTTTTACGGACTTGTGGGTGGGTCATGTTGGTGATTTTAGTGAAATCATCAATTCAATTTGTACCGTGATTGGATTCACAAGAGAGTATGAGGTTGTTAGTTAAGCTATAACCCGAATTAGGAGGTATGTAATGCACACTCGTATAAGCTAATTAGAACCAGAGATTATTGCATGACATCATATGGTGGAGGTCAAAGGGCCGCATCTATTTGCGTGGTCCAAGGGGCAGCGCCTCTGGTGGTTCGAAATGTTCTAAGTGAAATTCAGAACTCAAAATCCTCTAATTGTTGTTGTTTAGAAGCTTCTAACTCTGAAGCATTCTGACTTTAAAAATTCATAAGCTTTGAAGCCTTCTGATCTTTGTAAGCAGTTTGTAACCGTTGTGTAGTTAACCACATATACTAATTACTCCAATAGTTATTTCTATTTATTGAGAAGTCATTTTTATTTATTGAGAAGTTATTATTGCCTTTAATATAAGAGAAATTATAGTGCTCTATGTTTAAAAGGGAACAATTTTTGCCAAAATCATTGCTAGACACCAATATTATCCTCGAGTTAGTTCTGTGATACTTGTCAAATTTGAGTCGAAGTATAACTTAAAAAAAGTGAGTTCTTATGAGATCTCAAATTTTTCCAAGCTATTTCACTTATTGTTTCTGGAAGTCCTCGCCAACAGGCCAGGGCTCACCCTTGGCCATTGTTGGCTCCACAATGCTTCCATTCCAACATATTATTATCTATTACTATCGTTGTGTGTGTATATATATCTATATATATAGCATTGTCATTGTCATATACTCGTGAATCTTTGTTTTATGATAGCTTTTAAATCACTGCATGATCAAATTCCATTAGTTTCATGAGTAGTCATAATCATGTATAGGGCTGTAAACGAACCAAACGTTCAGCGAACCGTTCGTGAATTGTTCGGCGGGAAGTTCGTTTATGTTTGTTTATTTAATAAATGAACGAACATGAACAAATTTTTTTGTTCGTTTAGTTAAACGAACGAACATGAACAAGAGTCTTGTTCGTTCATTTATCGTTCGTTTATATTTGTTCGTTTATGTTCATTTATATATTAAATATAATATATAATCTTTTATTTATTTACTTTGAATTCAAATAATATTTATTTATGTTCGTTTAGCCCGTTCGTTTATGTTCGTTCGTTTACGTTCGTTTAACATGTTAACGAACGAACACGAACACACCTGATTTCTAAACGAACGAACACAAAGATTTTCATTCATTTACCGTCCGTGTTCGTTCGTTTATTCGGTTGAGTTAAACGAACGAATATGAACAAGCTTCTGTTCGTGTTCGTTCGGTTGGTTTTTCCATCATTTGAATTTTGCTTTTTATTCATCATTTCCATATTATTTTGATTTTGATTTTTGCCATAAAATATCCATCATGATAGTGTTAGATGGACGAAATGACAAACATATAACACGATGAAAGTGTTATTAGACATGAAGGACGGTTTTTAATTATAACAAAAAGGCAAAATTCAAGATAAATTATATAAGTTTTCAAACATGTCAATCCATATATAAAAGCTAATTCATACTTCACACATTTGAATTTCGTAATTTGATCTTATTAATTAGTATAATCATATATAGAGAGAGGATAGTATACAATACTATAGTGTTTACAATAATAATTAATAATGGACCATTTATTTTTCACTGCACAATAGAAAAGTAACTAGATCAAGCTCACATACAATTGTGTACCCCCATGCGTAAATAAAAACTTGATATAAGAACCATGCACGCACGTTTCACTACCCACATTGGAAGCTACCCGAGACTTGGTTGCCACATACACCGAGAAGCAAGCTAAAAGAGACAGGCACATTGATATTTATCCCCAAAACGTTAGCTTTGATAGCTGTGCAAAGGCAGGCAGCAGCCTCAAGGTCGGCAAGGCCTTGGATAAGAGAGCAACATGGCTTTACTGGTGGTGAACCCACCTCAGCATTCACCAAACCCCCCAACAGTTTGGCACACACTCCTAGTTTCAAGGCGTCTCTAGGGCAGCTGGTAGCCCTGGTTAGAGTTGGAGTTGGAGTTGGAGTTGGAGTTGGTATTGGAGTTGCAGTGGGGTTTGAGTTTGGGCTTTGTTTCGGGGTAAGGCTAGTGTATGTTGCACAACCGCTAACCATGACAAAGAAGAGATAGTGGAGTGCTAGAAAGAGAACTACTGAAGCATTGCTCATAGAAGCCATGTGCAAATGAATTATGAAAATCTACTGTTACAAATTGGTTGAGACTTGAGAAGCTAAAGGGTATTATCATGAAGGATATATATGAATGAGGGTATTGTGGGAGTGGGTTTATATAGGTGGAAAGGAGGGTGGTATTTCTTCAAATGGTGCTCAAATAGAAATAATGGAGACAAATTAATATAGTTGTCATTAACTGATCATATGATACATCGATCATAGCCAAGTTTTCCAGCATAGTGACCATGGGAGATGCTAATGTCGTGTTCCATATGTTATTAGGTTTATCATACGGAAATGAAGAGCATGAAATGGATAAAAATAAATGTCAGTTGCAATTGTCATATGTTAACCGAATTATTAGCTCAATTTGTACCTTTGGTTAGGGGTGCTTATGGTTTGGTTAATCGGGTTGAACACATTTGAACAACTCAACCCAATGCTTGCGGTTTGGAAAAATTTTAACCTAACCCAACCCAAACCAAAGTGCAACCCAACTCAACCCAACCCGTACGGGTTAGTCGGGTTGGTCAGGTTGATACTTTGGTATATTAAAATATTCTTTTAACCTTGAATATGTTATTTCTTACTCATAATTTCTTTTTCATCATCAATCATTTGATACAACTTATTCATATTTTTTACGTATATCACATTAATTAATTTTCTCAATTTACATATATATGTTTACAGTTACTGAAATGATTTATATAGATATATGAATAGATTGAAAATATGTATATATGAAAAACATACATAATAGTGTAATTGTCTAATGTATATGTTAATATAAATTCAACAATCATATTAAATCCAAGAAATAAAAGGAGGGTTCATCGGGTTGAGTTGGGTTCAAATAATAGTAACCCAATATCAACCCAATACCTACAGCTTGAAAATTTTACAACTCGATTAGACATCGGGTTTGCTTCAGATTGGGTTATTTCGCGTTGGATTGGGTTGATCGGGTTTTTGAAGACCCCTACCTTTGGTTATGCTCTATATAAACGACTTCAAAGTCAGAATCTTTTTTTTAGTTTTTCTTTTTTGTTATTTTATTGGGAATCATGCAAATGTGAATAATTTACACCATCAAGATCCAATTTAATCAGGCTAGACAATTATACTATAAGCTCTGATCGTGAACAATCCCAATAGTATATATTAATACCACTACTAAACTAATTAAGACCCATTATAATATTCATATAAAATTAGTTTGTACGATATATCTATACAAATGTATCAAATCATATCATACATGGATTTGAATTGAATATTATGTGTTTACATGTTACCTAATACTAATTTATCGAAAATTAGATGAATATATAATGCCACAAGATCAAACTATGTAACTAATTCTAATCTTGTTTACACTTTGAAACGTCACACGTTTCACTTCTCAAGTTGGAATTAATCATTCCTAATCTTGACGATGATCATTCTCCAACAGGATAGTTTCGCAAAACTCTAATTTTAGTTTTTTACACTCTTTAGAACAGAAGCTAGAACATGCATGGATCATTATGTTCTTTGGGGTTAGTGACTACTATATATCAAAGAGGAAGAGCTCAACATTTGCAAGCCTCCAAGTTGTAATCAGGAAGGATAATGCTTGAAGTAATTACTAAGCTAACTTAAATCCTGCTTTTGGTAGCCACTTATCTAGCTAGCACTTTTGAAACAAGTTCTTTACATTATTTTATAAGTTAAGCTTTGTATTTTGTATAAAATTAATAGATGTTATATAATTTATTATCTAACCATATCAAAACACGATGATCAAAGTAGTATCTCGTAACTTAGTTAAACTTATACAACAAGTAATGAATAAAATTTCCGTTCTTATTGGATTATCCAAAAGTGACAACTTTTATAGAAAAATCATTTTTACAAATCACGTTATACATATTTTGTGTATGTATTTCTTCTAACCACGTGTTTGATTTGTAACTGGCTAACGATTGAGAATTTGAGATGCACCTTATTGGTTTTCCTTTTCTCATATAGAAAGTTTGTAGATATTTTATAAATGACAATAGTATATATATAAGTTTTTTTATTTGTAAGGGTGAGAATAATAATCATACAATATTCTATGTTTATAAAAATAACCTACTGTGATATCAACATATGAACCTAATTAATTAAGGGGAATCTAGTTATAAATTGCTCTAGATCAAAAGTTAGATTTTCCCCTTCTTTTCTCTTCTTTGATCTCAAAGAAAGTGTTAGGCCAAATTTTTGCCCAATGTTAGGCTTTTTGTTTTAGCTTGTAAAACTTGTAGTTATTTAAATGTTCAATAACACATACTTTCTTCTAGGGTTGAGACATGTCAATCTTTAATTTGCCGGTCCATCAATTGTTGTTGTTTGTGACTTTGTGTGTTGCTTTAAGTTTTATCTTGGCACGTACTATTCAAGTTTAGTTTTTACTCAACTTGGTATATCTATTCTATCTATTTTTATTTTATTTTGTAAATATATTAGCTTATACTATTTATTACAATATAATTTCAAAGATGATTTCTCAAGCGTCACATTGACTGTAGATATTATGTAGAAATTACCATCCATTATAATGATTTTTAACTAATTTCTTAAATGACATCTTATCATAAAAAAACCTATATTTTAAGCAAATAAAAACAAAACTACAACTAAATTTTATTTAAATATAACATAATAACAAATAATTTATTATTTAAATAGTTGTTATGATATAAAATTAATTAATTAATAAAATATTTTATTTTATTTTAATTTATAAAATATCTTTATACAACAAATAGATGTTTGCTATTATGCATTAAAAATCATTAGAAGAAAAAACAAAGTTAGTGAATATAATTTTCACATAAAAGGAATTACATTTGTTACTGTTTTGTATGGAAGTGATCTATTTAATCTATTTAATAAAAACAAAAAATAAATTAAACAAAAAATATTTAATAAATATTAAAACATCAATCTAAACATACAATGTTTACTAAACGTTTTCACATGAAATTAAAATAGAAAATAAAAAAAATTTACATTCATCATCCTTTCTTCCTACAATATTATAATCATCGAACTACAAAGGAGAGTGTAAAGAAGAGTGTCCTAAACATCAACTTTAAAAACTTTAATGAAAAAAACAATGATATAATTTTATTTGTGTTAAATTTGTACTTTTATCATGTAATATAAT